GCGCGACTGAAACAAGGGAGATAGATGAGAAATGGTTTATGGCAGTCTTCTACAAGGCTCCTCTTGGTAGTCCCTCACAAGGAGCATCTCTCCTTGGTCAAGGAGTCGCAGGACATTCCAACAAGACTGTAGTTAGACTTGTCTGTCTGGCCTAGTGAAAACATGTAGGGTCATGTAGTGGCAGAGCTGTCTTGTAGTGATTCTATCCTCTGACTTTTCATGTTTCAAGTAAGAATTGTTTTCAGGAGTTCAGGGAACACGTTAGATCACCTAATTAACTGTACTTATTATTGCAGGGGCTTGGACCACATCTTTTCTACTTGATTTAGGCCACATCAAATGGAAGTGACCATGACTATGACTCCTAGCAGGAAGATCAGGGCCACTTGAAGGATAAATTGCAAACAGACTCCCCATCCAAGAGCCATCCAGGGCGTCTCAGGTGCTGCTGAGATTGGCCTTAGTGAGCCATATTACTTTTACTTTAAGGTAGGAAATACATCGCTGCATCTTCCCTGATTTATTAATCCAAGTGCGGCAACAGGGGTTGCCATTTAAATATATTCTACATTCTCCGTGATGCAATCCCAATAGATCCTTCTGACCCTCCACTGTGGACTCAATAGCAGGGAGATGAAGAGGAAGGTGACTGAGAGACGAAAAAAAATAAAAAATAAAATAAATAAATAAATAAATAAATAAATATATTCTACATTGACTGGCCAGTAAGAAGCCTGGGGCAAGTGATTGTCTATAACTACCCACATTACAGAGTTTAGATGGTTTATGTTTGTCAGGCAACTATAGGCCTGATGTCCACAGGAGCAGTACCCTACTGGGGGCATAAACTAAATTAGGAGTGTATCATTTATTACAACAAGGGTGAGTGAATTTTGTGTCCCTTACTTGGAGATAAATAATTTCTGCAAAGTAGGGTGGAGTGCTTTGGAAGAAACAATCTGTTTATCAGAGCCAATCAGCCTAGCCCTCCTAGTACAGACTGCCCACGGTGAACTGCATTCTGCTAATAGACTTGTGGTGACTTCAACAACAGCCTTTTGCTGACATGTGGGTCAAGGTTTGATTCTTTAGTGTTCAAAGGAACAGCTGTTAAGTTTTTGCTGATAGGGTCAAGAGGAAGTGATAGATGTAGCAATCAGTTAAATTCAGAGCAGTAGCTATGGTCTCTAGGGAAAGCATACAAGAAATTTTTCTTTTTTTTTTTCTTCAATAGTAGATAGAGATCACAAGGGACTGACAATAATGTTAGGCTAGGGGGGGCCATATTAATGTCTGTCATCATGGGTAGAGTTCATCCACCTGAAAGGTCAACAACCCTTAGTTTAAGATCTAAGGACTAAAGATCTAAGACCTGAGATCTAGGTTATAAGTTAAGAAGGAATATTCAGTTACCAAAGCATTCTGACATGACAGACCAGGCCAAGTGTCCTAGAGCTAAGAGCCAAGAGAAGTAAATGATTCTTCCCCCAACTCCTGACTTCCCAGGGTTTAGGGTGTTCCTTTCCTACCATCTGCATTGTTGCTGTCCTTTTATAGCCACATGATTGTTATGACCAGTCTTTGCAGCCATCACTTTATTCTTTTTTCCCATCCTCATCCTTTCTAACCCACACCATTTGCTTGGATTCATCTCTCAGTGGCTTTTTCCTTGTAGCATTTGTGCCATCCTTGCACTTATTCCACCCGAGGTGTGGGCCTTGCCAGGACCATGTTAGAGCTGTCACCTCACACTCATGATTATTATCTCCTGCCCTCTAGCTCAAATATATCTTACTAAGGCATCTAACATACTTGCTACTTCCTGCTCATCAGATTCAATCAGCATGTTCTCATTATGAACAACCCAAATGAACCGGTGTAGTGTTTTGTGGAATGTCAAGAGAATCAACATCTGTGTGGACTATATTAAGGAGAACTGGTATACCACTGAAGAAATACCATGAATGTATACTGTTAACCCCATAAAGTAAAAACCAACTGCTTCTGGTGGTTCTTATAAATAAGTACACAAAAGATGGCATTAGCTAAGTAGTAACTGTGTACCAAGTGCCAGGTGCTGTGTTGATTTGTTCCAGGAAAAATACCGAATCTGAAACAGCAGCCACAATTGGAATTACCTCCTGATTAAGTCTATAACAGTCCACAGTCATTCTCCAAGATCCATGTGACTTCTGTAGTGGCCAACCTGGTGAGTTAAATGGGAATATGATAGGTATCACCACCCCTACTTCTTTTATGGTGGCATTAATTGCTTCTGGTTTACTATCCTGGAAGAGAGTATAAGTTCGAGGCGCTTCCATGTACTTCTTCATACTGTAATGGCCCTCACCCCATGGGTAAGAAAACCAATGTGGGGGTATTGTCAGTTCTAGAACTGAGAAAATAACCACAGAGTGAGTATGTGGATCAACTGAACTAATAGAACCAACTGTGAGTTGGACATGAGCAAAGACTTCCCCTATCTACTGACCATGACAAACTCCAGCATTGGTTGGAGGGTCATTGTGGTGTTTTGTGTCCCCAGGCATTAGAATCAATTCAGTGTCAGTGTCTAGAAAACTTCAAAATATCTGCATATTGCCTTGTCTCCAATGCACCATTGCTCTAGTAAGTGGCCACACATCTCTTTGGGGAAGACTTGGGGAATATTTACAATGTTTACAGTGGCAGTGGTATAGGTCTTTCCTAAAGGGGCCCCAGATCCTCCTTCAATGAAGGGGTTCAGAATCTGTGAATTGATTTAGGTCTGAAACCTGAGTGAGAGGCTGTGATTGTTCACTGTGGTGACTCAAGTCAGATTTTAGCTGACTTAGGGCTTTTCTTGTTATAAATATTAAGCAGTACTCTATTAGTATTAGGCTGCCTATCTATTTTGTTTCTAGGCCATCTATGTGGGCCAAGGCAGCCTGATTGCCTGTACGCACCTGCTGCCCTTAAAGGCAGATGTACCCACATTATCTTAGGTAGTTAAATGCTGCTTGGACTCTGCTATTCTGGATCCTGTCATTGAAATCAAGGAGGACATCTCAATAGTGGCATCCTCTATAGTCATGCATGGCCTACAGAAGAGAACATCCAGAGATTTTTCAAAGACGTATGTCTTCCTCTCACTAATGGACTTCTTACTTCTTCAGTGGAGCAAGTGTCTTCAAGGCCTTTAGTATGGAACATAGTTAAGAGATGGGTATTTAGGTCGCATAGGATAATTCCAGTATAACATTTCCCTAAACCTTTGGCTTCTCTGTTCCACATTATATCAGGGAAGCTCTGGCATCTCAACCTCACAAATTGTAGGCCACCCCTAAGTCCAAGTTTCCATCAATCAACCAAATAAGCTAGGGACTATAGGTATAACTTAATAAAAGAGTGTTTAATTAAAAAATATTAACTACAGCAGGGGATTAGAGTAATGAGGGATTCACTAGTGAGAAAAGAACCCTAGAGAATACAGAAATACCAGCTATAAGGGACTATCTTTAAACTAACCCTATGGCTGAGAGGTAGAGTTCCCAAAGAAGAGCTCCCCCAGCCCGTTCCAGGACTAATATCCATTCTTTATTGGCGAGGAAACAGCCAGGCTCACTGAGTGGCAGATAAGTCACTGTGGTGTCACACCTGTAGAGCTTGTCGAAAATCTGCCCTCTGGAACTTGCTTCATCGCTTGTCTCTAGCATGCCTGGAAAGCTTTCATGGGGTAGTGTCTCACTTTGGGCCCTCCACTACAAAACCACTAGAGTTGGGGACATGGGAGGAAACGGCTGCCCCCCAAGCACTATAGGGGATTGGCACTAGAGAAAGCCAGGTATGCTGCAAGAGCTCGCTTAACAACACAACAAAACTGGGAAGAAAGCCCTTTTTTCCTTTGTAACGTTTCTTCAGTGCCCTCTACTGACAAAGCGTCTGCCCCTGCTGGGGAAGGAAAACTTACTTGAAAAGGCCCAGATCCATTTTCACAGCGCAGTCAAAAAAGGGTGAATTTGGCATTGAGAGGCAGTAAATCAATAACCAGCACATGAATCACTTCTCAGGCTTCCCTCATAGATTTGGTAGCCAGATGTCTACACCTGACTGGAGGGTCCTTTGGCAGGCTCCTTTCCCTCAGGTTTCACCAGGAAGTCACCAAAAGCAACGGAGGAAAGGATGAGTCTGAATACAGAATTCGCAACCCCCTTCTCCTCTTTCTTTTCCTAAAGCTCCTCACAGAGTTCCCGTCTTCAGGCACGCGAGGCCGGGATCCTCAAGGACAAGAAACCTGGATAGCTAAAGGGGAGTGGGTAGAAAGCTGAGCCCCTGTGGAACGTGGGCTGCGGGCTGCTTCCCGGGTCACAAAAGCCACCTGGGGTCTTCCCACAGCCGGGCGCAGGGAGGCGGGCGCTGGGCGGGCCGGGCAGGCGGCGCGCTGTGATTGGGCACCGGGGGCCCGCCCCCTCATCCCGACGCGTCGGGAAGGGGAGGGGCCAGCTGGCTGCTCCACTCGGGGGCTGCGGGCGCTTATTGACCCGGCGGCCGCAGCGCCGCTGCTCTCTCCCCTTGCTAGTGGCGGGCGGTTAGGAGCGCCGAGTGGCGCTGGAGAACCGGCGCTTCCTTTCGCCGCTGCCTCCGCCATCTCCCTGTTTGCGGGGCGGGAAGGAGGGAGGGGACTTGCGGCTGCAGCTGGAGCGGGCTTCTCTCCGGGGACGGTCCTCTCCTTGCTTTCCTTTTCCTCCTCCGCGCGTCGTTGCCGCCTGCCCCCTGCGCCCTCCCTGCGCAGCCCGGGTCCGGGAGGGGAGAAAAAGGGGGCAGCGGGGGGCGGGAGAGGCCGGAGGGTGGACGCGCGTTCGGAGGCAACTCCTACCCGATCCGTGCATCCCCGCGCCCCGGGTGCTTGCCGGCCCGGCCTCGGCGGCTGCGGCGGCGGCGGCAGCAGGAAGGGACTTAGAAGGGGCGGGGGCTGCGCGGCGGGGGCGGGACCGGCCGTCCCGGCGCTAAGTTGTGGGGCCCGGCTCCTCCCGAACGGATTCTTTTCCCCTCGGCTCCTGGGACCCAGCTCCGCGCCGCCGGTCCCTGAGCCACTGAACCCCCCACCTCCTGGGTGAGGAGGACACGCTTGCCCTTGTCGAGAAAACTTTTCCTGCGGACTCGGTCGAGGCGGTGGTGGCAGGAAGTCCGGGCAGCAACCTCTCCGCCAGCCTCGCTCGCCCTGCCGGGTGCCGGCGCTAAGCTCGAGATCAAGTTTTCGGGGCCCCTTCCGGGCTGCAGGCGGGTCTCGCCTTAAGAGGGGCGCCCGGCCCCGGGGAGGACGGCAGGCCAGGGCGAAGGCCGAGGGCGCGTGCTGGCTTCGGAGACAAGGTGTGGAGCGCGGCCGGGACCTTCAACCGCAGCGATAAGCGCGGAGAACACGAGCTTGGGCGCGGAGAGCCTCTGGCGGCGGCTTCCAGGAGTCCACTGTCCTCCTCCGGGTGAAGACAGTGTCCTGGACCCAAGTCTATCGAGGAAAAATGAAGTTAAGCCGCCAGTTCACCGTATTCGGCAGTGCGATCTTCTGTGTTGTGATCTTCTCGCTCTACCTGATGCTAGACCGGGGTCACTTAGACTACCCCAAGAGCCCGCGCCGCGAGGGCTCCTTTCCCCAGGTAAGCACCGGGGGCGCGGAGCTCCGAGAGGGTAGGCGTGGGGGTCCGTACTTACCCGCTGCTCCTCGACCTCTCTCCGGCGGAGGCTTTGCGCCAGGGCTGGGCGAATCCGAATTGGCGGAGGATCCGAGCCTCCTCCAGCCGGGCTTTGCAGCGTTGGGACGGCGGTGACCGCGACCCCGGAGCCTCGTCCTCCCGGGCGCGCAGAGTTAACAAAGTGCCGGGCAGCATGCTTGGCGGGATCGCGCTCAGGTGAAGTGGCCATGATCGTGCGCTCGCACCTGGGCGTGTTAGGGTGGCCTCGGGCACCTGCTGGCCGGGAACCGGCGCGGCGTGAGGCGCTCGCCGGCCTGCACAGCGCCTGTTTGCCGTTTTTGGATAGCCCCTCAGCCCACACAGGGTTAAGCTGCACAGACCCCCTGCACGCGCCCACTCGTGGAAATGAATCACACAGACCCCATTTGGGCAGTGTTTTTACTCCACCGTCTCTTAAGAAATAAACAAAAGTTTATTTCGTGTTGCAGACCTCTTAGAAGTGAATCTGTAGGGTTGATTTTAGTGTCGTCATTCTTCAGCTGTTACATCGGGTTTGTTAGGGGAAGCGAGTGTCATACTCCAGCTGGAAGCTGTGGGGCGCTCAGCCCTGTACCCAGTGGTCGAATTGTCAAACGAGTTAGGAAAACGACCCATCTTCAGTCTTTTATTTAAAGTTAGTAAAAATAAGCAAACGGAGACAGTCGGTTCTGTTTGGAAGGACACAGCGCCGCGTGTGTTTCAGTTTCTAGTTGTTTGCCAATGTCCAGCACACTTAAGAAATTTTAGTGGAACTGGGTATTGTGTAATATCCCCTGTAATGAATGAACCTGAAGAGCTCAAAACCCTGACAAGCTGATTTGACAACCACTTGACTCGGGGATAGAGAAACGTAGGACGTGAACAAGTTGACGTTTTAAATTTGTCTTTGTGACAATTTAAATGACGAAAGAGCATCCTTGCCGTTTGTTCTGATATTCTAGGGCAAAAGGCTTGAATTTATTTGAAATTAAACTACTAACTTTGCCAGGGCTATTATGAAAGTGTGAAAAGACCCATCAATACAGAACACTCAATATTTTACGGGTGAAAGGTGTTGACAACCTTGTTGTAAACAAATGTATCAAAATTTGTAAAAGCTTCTGCCTCTCCTAAGTAGCCTATAGGCTAAATATAGTGAGATAAGCACTTTGAGATAGCTTTAAATCTTGAGTTTAGAGTTTGTCCAAGTGCTTGTTGATGAGATCGAATAAAAGTTTTAAAAAGGGTAAAACCCTGTGAAGCAAAACCAAAAAGAGGCGTTCTAAGCCTTGTTTAATAATTTTGGGGCCAAACTTACTGTGTGATCCCCTCCTGCAACCCTACTTCCAGAATTTTCTCCCGTATAGGAAAAATCATAAAAACTGATACATTTACTTAAACTGTTATCTTGAATACTGTCCTTTGGCTTTGATAAGCACTTGGAAATGATTTATGCAAACATCTGGGGCCAGGGTTCTCTGGCAACCTTGACATTTTACTGCTTCTAAAGAAGTGAGTGACTCATTCACTTGCTGGGAAATCTTAGGCAAAGTTAATTCCAGTATTTTAATATCCAGCCCTAGTCCTTGTCAAGGGACTGGAGTTCTGCATAGAACGGAAAGCATTTGGTGGATGCTGGAAGAGAAGGCCCTGTGTGTTTTCTGTTTTGTGTGCAAGAGGAGAGGTAGGTGGAGCTTTTTATACTTAAGGATGCCTTTGTCAGATTTTCAGCATTGGATTTTCGGTGCAGGAAGAAGGCACCGTTTGCTGATTTAGTTTTGGAGAGCCACTGAATCTGCAAGCAGGTGGACAGGCAGAATGTGCTGAAAGCCCAGCTTGTGCCTGACATCAGCCAATGTGTCTTCCACCATACACTCGATTCCCACAGCCACCGCCCCAGTAGGTGAGGAAACTGAGGCACAGAGAGATGAACTTGCCCAAAGTCACAGAGCTAAAAGCTGAGATTTGAACAGGCGGCTTTTGGCGCCGAGGCGCTCAGCTGTGAGCTGTATTGCCACTTAGTGAACCTTTGCCTACGGTTAGGCCCCAGCCTGCTGTGGAAAAGATCTGATGGGGAAGCTAGAACATGTTGCTCTGTTACTCCTTAGCTTATGACTTTTTTTTTTTAAGGAACTTTTATTATAAAGCCCAAATGAATATGCTCCTTTTTCTGAAACATTTAACACTTGAAATTTATACCTCTCCCAGAATGTCTTCTAGCTCACTGAAGAGCTAAACATTATAATGAAAACCGTGATGTAGCACAGCATCCAGCATTTGAGTTGATTTTTTTTTCACTACTTCTCTCATGTAAACCTTAATTTGATGAGAACACCAAACATAGCAAAACTTAATTGCAATGTATTATGTTTCTTTGTTGAGTTTGGGTACTGAATTCCTTAGTTTTATTAGAACCAAGCTGGTCAGTCATTATATATATATATATCATTTTTGGTGTCTAGTAGAATGATTTATCTAGAAAAGGATTGATTTCCTCTGACTTGTCCATTTTAGCTTCTTTTAGTTAATATAGACCCTTCAGGAAGGTATATGGTCCATCTTGTAAGTAAGCAACATATGTTTTAAAACTATCCTAGATTGAGAGCAATCTATTTGCTGTTATTTTGGCTTTCATTCTTTCCTTCCTTCTACAGCTCTGTTTTCCAGCACTTGGCCAGACTCGGGGGTGGAAGTGGGCCCAACTCGGGGTGCTCCGGTTTCTCCCACACTGGAACAGCTGCCTGCATCTGAGATAGTCTTTGGAAGGCTAATTTACCCTGTGCTTCTGGAACGAATTCCTTTGAGTCCTGGAGGCAACAGGTGGCCTTGTCTGTTTTAGCTTATGTATATATTTCAGTGTTAATAAATCTCAGTTAGAAAAGTTAATAAAAATTCCACTCCGAATGAGAAGCTGGCCAGGACCTAATGCCCTGAAGATACTTTGAGGTAATGTAAGAATTCCAGCAGATAGAAAGGAGAAACATTGTTGAAGTCTTCCTGAAATTCTGGATCACTTCATACAAGCAGATTACACAAGTTGCTTACTATCAGCGGTGTGCCTAATATGATGTCTTCTGTTTGTATCTGGAGAATTAATGAGCCAGGTTTTGTGTAACAAATGATTGCTCTTTAAATAACTAGTATAGCATATGACCATAGGGATTAATATTAATCCCTATTAATATTGATAGGGGTTTTAATATTTATTAAATTAATTATTTTAATTAATATTTATTAATATAAATTGGGGCTGATGGAAAATGTGAAAGTGAGGTTCAGACTTTATTATTGTGCCCAGGTAACATTTATCAAGCGAGAAGGTGAGACTGTCTTGATATAAGTATTGCTCGAAAGACATTGGATGGTGGGGACTATTATGCCTTTTTTTTTTAACTTTTAATGTGAAAATATAATACACATACAGAAATATGCTGAAACGCTTTCCATCTCTAGTACTTTTTCAAGGGTCCAACGTAGTTGATGTTTAATAAAAGTTTATCTCAATCCCCCAATTGTTTTATTTTGCTTCCAGAAATCTGTGAATCTTAATGATATATGGAAAAATATGGTCTTCCCCGCTTCTCCACACTCCAGGGCACTCTATAAACCATAGCACTTGTTGCTGGAGTTTGTGCAGGTGTGTAGATGGGAGCTTGCTTCATTTCTTGGGTATAACGTTTGAGATCTGTGACTTTTGGGAAGTGATAGAACTCTGACAGTGGTGGCAACCAGGTGTGCCGGAGGAATGCAAGAACATGAAAGCCTCTGAAGGCTTCCTCCACCTCCTCCTGAGTCCAGCCATCCTACAGGACGCCTGCCCAGCATGTTTCTGCTAAAACCCAAGCCTACTTCCTAAACACCAACTGGGACAGACACCCGTGCCTGCATCTGGTCTGAAGGCTTATGTTTATTATTTTAAAAATTGAATGTGTTGCTCCCAGAGTAGCACTGCTCTCAGGGCCTAAACACATACATTTGTTTGGGAGATGTTGCAACCCTGTTTATCTGCAGGGGATTTTTTTCCTTGTTACTCATTAATTAGCATTAAAGGATATCTGGGCAGTGGGCATTGACTAAAATTACCACTCTTATTTGTTGTTTTTACTTTGAGTCAGCTGTTGCTTTTTGTGATAGCTGTTAAAACTCTGGCCTTTTTGGCAGACTCGTGTTAAGTGCTGAGATTTTCCTAGAAGGAGTAGTTTGGTTGCTGCCGCTGATCCCTTGCTTAATTATTCGTTTTTTTTTTGTTTTTTTTTGAGTCCAACAGTCATAGTTTTCCCTTGTTGTTTCCTTACTTCCATATAGATCTTTAAGAAAATGGGAGGCTATTCAATAAGTGGGGGGGTATGATTTCTGGCTGCTGGATTGTAAGTCATTGTGCTTTGGCTTCTTCTGTGTCGGTGGTCAGGCTCCTGGCAGCATGGGCTTTGACAGTTTATGGAGAACGAAGGAGGGGAGGAGGAACTTGTAAAGAGTGAATTGTGCTTCTTTTCAACGCTGAGATTTGTAGGTTGATCAGGAGAGGAAGTAGACCATTTTAGCTAAAAAAGGGTTTCTCTTTCACTTACAGATTGCAAGCCATGCTGCTGATGTTAAGGTTGAAACCACGCTGAGGTTCAACCAGGTGTGAGGGTTGATTGTACTGAAATGCAATTCAGACCTGGTGCTTGAGTATTGTGACGTTTGCCTTGTGATGGGGAGGAAGTCAATCATTTGGCTTGAAAGAACTCAGTCTCTTGAGGTTATAACATAGCTTTTCTGTGAGATGGTATATTTAAGGTGATGTTCTTTGTACTTTTATGCAGACAAGTATATAATGTATAAGAGATATCCAGTAAATAGTTTATGTTAAATTTGTAAAGCTAACGGAAATGCTATCTAAAGAAAAGATCAACTTTGAAGCACTTTAGTTTAAAACTACTTACTCTACCTTTGGCTACCTCACA